CTTACTTCAATTAAACAGATCTTCAAAAAAAATAACAAAAATAAAATGACAATGAATAATTAAGTACAAAGTGATATCTGCATAATCAGACCATTTTGTACAGGATACCTAGATTCCTTATGAAAATTTACTGCCGTGTACGGGGGTGAACAATTTGAACCTTGCCTGGCGAGGGTGGGAATTTGAATGGGAACTGTTGAGTCTTTTCAGTGGAATACAAGTGCCTCATCTTAAAATATGGAGGTATTTAAAGGTGAATAATTCACCTTTGCGAGCAAATTGTTCAGAAGAAAACGTTTACATGGTCTAGGTTTTAAAGTTTCGTCAAAGTACAGAAAGTCACATTCGCTGATTTTGCCTTCTATAGAAAGAAAAAAGAACAAATTTTTGCCGCGGAAATTTGAACAAAACAATCTTTAAAAGTTCTAGAACTGAAATGGGGGCGCGCCCAGGGAGGTGTTAAAGCTTCAAATTGATCGAAGAATCATTAATGGATAAACGAAATGAATGAAACTGCACGAGCTCAAGATTAAGCATCTTTGTCTTAACAATGTCTTAAATAATTTATCATTAATTTTCAAGTCCTATTCTCTCATATAGAAATGAAAGGAGAAATATGCTTCAGAAACGATACCATTCGTATTTTCCCTCATTATTGAGTTACCATTTACGGCATTTTGAGTACCCAGAGAGACACCTTACCTTAACAAATTTTTTTCAATTATGACGGTTTACAAAACTTCAACAGTGGAGACCCCCATTTCGATAACGGCTCATCAATCTGGCCGGCCGCATAATCCAAAGCACTGCTTCGGTTCTCAAGCAGTTGCTAGCCGATGCATCGCGAAAAAAAAAACAACTCCGTTTGTGTAGCTCCTTATTTTCCAGACAGATCGTCGAGGGATGGAAAAAGAATAGCTAGACCAGGTTGCGAAGAAAGGTGTAGAGTAGCGATGTTATTAGTTTTCTTGAATTAGAGACCATCGTCGTAATTGACAGAAAAAAAGATGTTTTTAAAGGGAAATTTTAAAAAAACAACAACAAATAGGGATAGGGAGCAAACTTCTTCCACCATTGTATAAGATGTAAACTAAAAACTGTATTTCCTATTTTTCCTTAGATTGTTCTGGTTATGACCGATGGAAAACAGACAGTGGAAAAAGACGGAGTTCTTAGCTCTGACATTCTCCGCGACGCTGTTCAGCCTCTGAAAGACAAAGGCATTCGTGTGATATCTCTGGGTGTTGGCAAAGGTATCGGATTGTTTGATCTTGTAACCCTTGCCTCCACGGATTTGGATGTGTACACGGCTACAGATTTTGAAGAGCTCGAAACTTTGGTTACGGAACTGACAAAAGGAAACTGTCCAGGTATAGCCCTTCTTTCAAAATAGACCATAAGAGATACTTTAGGTGGGGTTCCAAAGAGGTTATTTTCTTCCTCTAAGTTCCCTCCGCCACACCCTTTTTAAGGATGAAGTGTCTCTCCTTTGTTTATGCAATGAAAAGGAAAACGTATCAAAAATAACGCCTAAAAAAGGGGGTTTGAGAAAGACTTCTCTATCTTTCCGCACGCAGAAATTAACACAATTTATCACCTTCGAACAAGGTTTTCTTTAGTCCAGGTAATTTTTGAAAACATGCAGACCTAAGTAAAAGTATTTTAACTTCACTTTTGAAATTTTGTCTGTTATCATTTCTGTTGCTTTATAAACGCCACCCGATAAAAGAGACTGACTATATTTCGTTTGTCAATTGCCTAGATTTACATAACAAGGCTCAAGATAAATAGGAAATGAATGATTAAGTTATGTCTGGTGCTTTAAACTCTTTAATATCAGATCTTTTCTAGAGGGCAATATTTAAAAGAGCTCTGTCTAATTAATTGAGTTTTTAACTCCGTAGGGAAAACAGCACAACGTTTGCTTGATAGAAATAGACTCATCAAAGTTAGAGGAGAAATTAAAAGATATCAGATTGGCTTAGAATAGGAAATATTACGACATGCATTGTAAATAGTCAACAAAAAAATTACGTAACATTTGGTAATGCACACATTGAAACACAGCGTCTCTGGGTCACAAGGTCAATCTGCGTCCTGTTTGAGTGTTAAAGGGCTACAATATCTTATAAAATACTCAATTCTATACCACAGTGCATGGAAATTGGTCTGACTGGGGAGAATGGAGTAACTGTACAGTATCATGCGGTGGAGGCGAACAGACACGTTATCGGGATTGTGACAATCCTCCTCCGGCTTACGGGGGAAGAGAGTGCCTTGGTGTCAGCGAGGAAACACGCCCTTGCAACGAGTTACCGTGCGCCGGTAAGGATTTGATTTAGCTATGCCGAGCCTCACTGAATACGAATATGAAGAAAGGCTCTCGATGAAATGAATTTAAGCTAAGAGATTGTAGCCGGCTTACATCCGGTTATATTACCTGTAATGTCCGTCTGCGCATCAGTGGACAATAGCTTGTGTGAACACCCACTGCATAGGATTTTATGACCGTTGGTGATTGGTAGTTCTAACTCTACTCCTGATTGGCCAAAGGTTCTAGTTTATTGTTTCATGTCAGATTCAACATAACGTCCAATGGGTCGGGTGTTGAATTCAAGAAAGAGCTATGGGAAAAAGTGTTTTCTGAAGTCAAATGGTACTTTGAAATCGAGAGTCTTTTGCCGGAGCAAAAGGAGGCAATAAGAGGTTTTTTAATGCAAAAAATGTGTTCGTTAACCTGCCTACAGGATACAGGAAGTCTTTGATAAGGGAGTTTAGAACAAACGGCGGCAGAACTCAGGGTAGTGCACGAAGGAATGTCAAGATTTTGCAAAAATCTAATTTGGATTTGCTCTGGAATGTTACGTGAATTGTTACATGAATTGGTGTTTACGGAGAGCTGTGTTGGATTGGGCGTATTTTGAGAATCTTTTGCACTCTGAATCGATGAGTAGTTGTTAAAATCAGGCGTTATAATTGACCGACGAACTTGGTTCGGCGTTGAAGTCGCTAACACATTAGGGAGTTTAAGCAAATCACTACGGCTGGCGCTGCTACGGCTACCGGAAGTAAAATTGTCCAGAAACGAGTCATTGCGCATGTCATTGGTTCCCATCCAGCCGTAGCGGGAAATCCTTCTACGCGAGTGGGAAGGTTTCGGCGTAGTCTGTGGTACGTGAACTTATCTCGCTTCTTTCATCGCTTTATACATTCTCCTGAGCAATTTTAACTATTGAAATACACTTAACATCTTTAAAAATAGCTTATCGGGAATATTTATCAAGCTTGCTGTCCCTTACCGAGTGAATCTGCCTTTATTTTTGCCGCCGGGTTTGTCGAAGGATCGAAGCAGTGTGCACATGGAGAACGCAGCGAACGCAAGGAGAAATGCGTAGGTAGAAAGTCTAACTTTTCCTTTTCAAACCTCAAAGACTACTTGAAATTCAAATAGCTGAAGCCGAGGAATGACGAGGGTTATGAGGGACCGTGTAGAAACTTTGCTTTGGTGTTTATAAGCTCCAAACTGGCAATTTTACAACACGTAAGCTTAAATATTTTAATTCACTCATTCACTGTGCACAGGATCGCTTACAATTTTTTTTTCCAAACGTTGGAATCCCTCGTCCCTTT